AAAGTTATTTTCTCACACTTGAAGACAGATGCTTTACCTGCTGAACCGTCTCACCAGCTCTCTCTTCCTTCTTGATCTGATCACATTAAATTAGGCTAAAACAGTCAATAATACCTATGTCACAGACTGAATGCTAGCATGCTTGAAATTTCCTCTGCCAGATTAATTAGTCTATCACCTGTACATTTAATCTCACAATGAGTGTGAGGGCATGGGCAAAATGTAGACAAGATCTTTCCCAAAGCATAATACAAATGGTCACTAGTCCAATTCTCAATATTGTCCTTGTTCTCATCTGAAACTTCACAAGCACAGGCTTTACTGTTTGCATCCCTATCAGCATTCTAGTTCTCTGAGTTTGAACCAAAATTACCATTTAATCTCTGCTTACAACATTCTAGGCTTTCTATATTATTGTTGTTGTTGCCATTCTACTGCTTGGAAAGTAGGGACTCTTGGGTAGAAAATAGGATCTCCTAGTAATTTCAATGTACATTGTTTTTTGTTTTTTTTTTCAAGACAGGGTTTCTCTGTATTGCTTTGGAGCCTATCCTGGCACTAGCTCTGTAGACCAGGCTGGCCTTGAACTCACAGAGATCCACCTGACTCTGCCTCCTGAGTGTCAGTTTACATTTCTTAAATGCCAGTAAGAATGAGAATACATTAGAATATTTCTATGTTGCTGGTGGCAATGTAAAATGGTATTTTTGCTATGGCTGATGAGCTGGCTTCCTCCTACCTGCCATACCAAGCAAAAGACCAGAATTCCAGCCAGGTGGTGGTGTTATACACCTTTAACCCAAGCACTCAGGAGGTAGAGGCAGGTGGATCTCTGAGTTATAAAGCCAGCCTGGTCTACAGAGCAAGTGCCAGGACAGCCAGGGCTGTTACACAGAGAAACCCTGTCCTGAAAAAACATAAAAACCAAGAAAATCAGTATTCATGTAAAAGTTGGATTTATAACTTGGTCCATGAAGACAAGGGAAGGAGAAGTGGTAGGAGGCAGAAAGACACACACACATAACTGGATTTCTTTTGCCAGCCATTCTAACCAAATAGATCAGCCGTGGGT